ACAATGCCAGTATCCACACGTCAAGAGAAACAATGGCGTGGCTGAAGGCTCTGCCGTGGCCAGTTATGGACTGGCCGTCGAAAAGCCCCGACCTCAACCCCATTGAAAACGTTTGGGGTGTTTTGGCGAGGCTTGTCTATGCCAATGGTCGCCAGTTCGAAGACAAGGCAAGTCTGAAGGCCCAAATCATCCGTTCATGGAACGAAATCGACCAAGAGTACTTGCGGCACTTAGTTGAAGGCATGCCAACTCGATTGGCTCAGGTTATTCTTCGCCGTGGCCAGTGCAACTGCGTCTATATTTTTGGGTCACCACCAAACTTGAAAAGTGAACAATGTGCTAGTTCGGTGGATGTGGTGAGGAAATGCTCTCTGGAGCAGCCCTTTAGGAGTCATCGAATGCTGTTGTTCCAGGAGGTTCTATCTAAATGGGCTGGTGAAGTCTCCAACTCGAGAATATCAGGGTGCGTCTATAGTTTTGGGTCGACTGTAGGTTAGCCAGCAGCGAAAACGTTGTATAGATTTTGCCCAATTACTCTAACTGGCTCGGTCAAAAGATTTGAACAGAAATGGAGAGAAGTAATGCATAGCAAGTCAGACCGACATGTAAACGACAAATTCTCGAAAAGTGATAGGAGAACCGATATGAGATTGAACAATGATTGGCTGAAGGAATTGAGGGCTGTGCTTGAGCGTTCAACCTGTCCCTTCGAAACCTACCAGGCGACAAAAGGGTAATTCTATTCATTTCATGGAGCTAGTATGATTCGGCGACAATCAGCATCACAACCATATTTGCGGCACAAGAATACCTTCGGCTTCAACGTGGGGGTCGACGTTCGTGGAAGTATTCACCCTGTATGTGGCAGGGCACACGCAGAGGAACGAGTCAAATGTAGAATGAATTGGCAGAGTCTTGCTATCCTTCTCTGCAACAGGTACCTATCAAATATGGAACGTCTAAGCGACTCGTGGGGAACAACTCTGGCAATTGTTTGAAAGGACAGCTTCAATGTCAGGGTTCACCTAGTATCACAGAGCAGTTGCACTGTATGCACCTGAATGTCCGCAATGATGTCGCGAATGGTGTAGAATACAATTTCTTGAATTAACCACGACGGTCAAGTGGCGATGTCGGGATGCGGTGAATCCCCCGCTATCGAATTGTCAAGAGCACGAACGAATATTGGCTCGGATGGGTTCGACCAATCAGAGAATTGTCGGACGAAAATGCCCGATTTCTTGGATATTTTAACATAAATCAGACATTGTAGAAATTTAAATTGTGATTTTCTTGGCGATCGCTTCAATCTTTTGATGCCGGTGTCATGAGCGCACTCAAGAGCAAGCTGTGCTACATGAGGCTCCTTGAAAAGCCCCTTGTGTCTACATCGGAGAAGAGGCTCGCCACGATCACGCGTACCATTGCCCAGTGGGAAGGAATGCCCTGTGCCTATTATACAAACTTTTAGTTAATTTTCTAGTAACACGGGGGAGGGATTTCAGTCATTTACTGTAATACAGTGTA